GTCCGGTGGGAGCCGGGGTGGGAGGATGCGCGGCGGCCCCGTCCCAGCGGGACCAAGTGGCGTCGGAGAAGTTACCTCTACGACTGACACGGCCAGGTTCCCTCTTATTATCGCTACAGTCGGGCACTGGGAGCGTGTGGAAGGAGCGGGCGATGGTCAGGCAGAGGTTCACAGCATCTCTCTTTGGTCCTTTTCTAGGAATGGAGAAAATAAATTTCTCAGGAGGTGAACCGTTTCTTGAGGACAGAGGCGAATTTGTAGGCAAACTGGTGCAGTTTTGCAAGCAGGAGCTGAAGCTGCCGAGCGTCAGCATCGCTAGCAACGGCAGTTGATTAGAGAGCAGTGGTTCCAGAAGTACGGTAAGGAGAAAGCCCTGTGCACAGAAGCACTGGTGGAGTTTGGGAGCCTCCTCGGGGCAGCCTCCCCAAGAGATGGTTTTCAGTGCAAGTGGGAGATGGTTTGTTAGTGGTTAATTCTCAGTGAGTGCAAACCAAACATAAATACCAGTGAAATACTGTTATTTATATGTTGTGAACGTAGGCAGTTTGTACTATTGCCTCTTTGGTATAATAGTATACTAAAATAATAGCTCAGACTGTCTCCATAATGCTGGACACACACAAACAACCCCACCAAAACACCATGTTTTGATGATGACGCTGCTGTAGCTTTTGTGTGTCGTGTGATGACTTCACAGAACCGTATTTACGTGGCTTTTCATGACAGATCACAAGAAAGTGAAAGTGGGCAGACTTCTGACAACTTGTATCTGAAGGACTGAACATTAATCAATTTTTAAAACTTGTTTTCAGGTGAATATTTAGACATTCTGGCAATATCGTGTGATAGTTTTGATGAGGATGTCAATGTTTTAATTGGCCGTGGTCAAGGAAAGAAGAACCACGTGGAAAATCTGCATAAACTGAGACAGTGGTGCCGAGAGTATGCAGTGGCTTTCAAAATAAATTCAGTGATCAACAGGTTTAATGTCGAGGAAGATATGAATGAGCAGATCAAGACACTCAACCCCGTGCGCTGGAAGGTAAGAAAGTAATGTATACTATAGGTTTGCTGTTCAGAGAATTATGAAGTCCTGGAGTTGTCTGAACTTCTAATGACCTCGGTCAGATCTCCAGCTCCAGCTTGGGCTGGTGATAGCGGACTTCTTGCCAGTGTTACATGGTATTGAGACAGGTTCTGTCTCTTTCTGCACTTAAATGGAGCCAAATACGTCAAGAATCTTTTTCGTTGTGATATTTACAAGAAATTACTATTTCAGCGTATGCAGATCTAGTTCTTTAATTATATTAAAAAAAAGATAGAAGGTCTTTAACTTTTGAAAATGTGTCATGGTGTTGAGAAAATGAGGAAAAGTTAGTGTATGATGATACATTAGAGTTAATATATAATTAACAATATATAAGTGTACATTAGACAATGTTTTGTTAGAGTATTAGTGGCTAGTGTGCATATATTACAATATTTTATACTAGAAATGTATTATATACATTATGTTATCAGTTTGAAAACAGGTAAAGATAATATGATGTATAAATATAGGAGAACTTGTGGAATAATTTCTCATTATTTGCTTCATGGAAATTGGTATACACATATGATTTTCCAGGAAAAAAAAAAAATCACTCTAAGTGAAGTCTTGGTCCTACTAAAGGAGTGTAAGGAAAATATGACATACATTTTATTATTTTATTAAGCTTCCAGGCCTGCTCTCTTACTGGAGTTACAGAGCGTGTTGATGGCAAAGGCATCTTTTTCTCTCCAAAGTCCATTCTAGATGTATTTGAGGACTTGCCCTTTAGAAGGAGGCTGTTAAGTAGACAAGCTATTATATTTTGTTCCCGGGACAGGCTGCCCAGAGAGGTTGTGGAGTCTCCTTCTCTGGAGATGTTCGAACCCCGCCTGGACACATTCTTGTGTGATCTGATCTAGGTGGTCCTGCTCAGGCAGGGGGATTGGACTAGATGATCCTTTGAGGTCCCTTCCAATCCCTAACATTCTGTGATTCTGTGATTCTGTGGGGAGTCTTCCCTATCTTTTCTGTGACCATCTGAAACCAGTTAAAATTACAGTCACCAATTAAGATAAAATCTTTAAGAATAAAGATTGTTTTGGTAGTCTGCATTGTAGGTAGTACTTGATGGCATTTATAATACAGCTATACTATTCGAGGTTCAATCAAAAGTTTATTTAAGCTTTGATTATCTGTGCCCTTATTAAGAACAGAGCAGTTAAGATTTCCGTGGAAATCTGGTCAGGAACCATTACTGTATAATTACATTTAGAACTATTTAATGGTAATTTGCTAAAAATAAAGCTGCACTGTGCCCTTCATATAGTATTCACTTACCACAATTTGTGTCACTGTGGCTCCATTGACAGAAAAATTAAAAGACATTGCTACTGAGACAAATGAAGGTTTTTGTCATGGTGACAGTCTCTTAGCCTCAAGGCAAGTAAAACCAGAAAATCTTAAGCAGGTGCCTTCTGTCTTCAGGTATTCCAGTGCCTCCTCATCGAAGGGGAGAACACTGGTGAGGATGCCCTAAGAGAAGCAGAGAAATTTGTTATCAGTGATGAAGACTTCAAACGATTCCTGGATCGCCACAAAGGTGTCTCCTGTTTGGTACCGGAATCTAATGAGAAGGTAAAATTGAAACTGTCCTTTTGTAATTTTATTTTTAAATAAAGTTGGAAAGATGGAAAAGAACTAGAAGCTTTCATGGCAATTAACACTTTCCCTATTAGTCTTGGCTTAGAAGAGGTATAGTACAACTTTGTCAGCAGCTGGTTTTGTTATGGTGGAAGCCAAGGTTTTTAGTTTTCTTTAAAGCTTTTTATTGGGCACAAAGTTATTAATAGAAGAGCACAAACTCATTGTTCCCAATCCTGTAGAAACCAGTGGGAGTCCTTTCACAGCATCATATGGGCCTCTGCTCCGTGAGATGAATCTATAAAGTATCAGCACAGAAACTGGAGAAGCTGTTTTCCACAGCTGAGTAATGAATTCTAAACAATAATTAAGCCCTTTGGAATTGAATAGCTCTTCCCCACCAGGGCGCAAGATCCTGAAAAGGCTGAGTGTTAATGTAAACACACTTCATAGTCTAAGCATAGTTTTCTAATAGAGATTGACCATGATGTTACACTATGGCAGTGTCATTGACCAACATGAAGTAAAGATATCATCCCAGTCAGCATTATGTTGGGTATGGAGGAACAAGAACTAGTATTTTTGCCTGACACATCTTACTGGGTACTCCCTCACACAATAAAGTTGCATTTTTATCATTGTCTATCTGAACTCCTTTGGACTGCACGTTCAGGCTCTTTATTCGCAAGAAGACTCCTTGCATTACTGCAGAGCCCAGCAGTTAACTTAATGAGCTTCCATCCAGCTTACGTTAGCTGCAGTAAAATGCTTAAGAGTGGACCTCAGGATCTTTTGTAAGATGCCTACAGACCCTCTACCTGGCATGAGGAGAGTTAGAAGACTCACTGTTAAGGAAGTTTATGAACTGAGTGAGGAATACCAAGTTGAACCGAGTTCTGAAATGGCTTAAATCTCCCATTTCACCTGCCTTTTCCTCTCCAGAAACTAATACTCGCCATTTACAGTTTACTTTCTAATGTACAGAGAGCAGACTGGGTTGCCTCTACTGTGAAGACATAGAAGTGCAGTCTAGTGTTTAAGGCATTCAGTGGGATAAAGCACTCATCAGAGGTGGCGGTTAGATGAGAACCCAGAACTGTTTCTACATTTTTTTTCCATGTAAGAATAGACTTCCCTCAGCCAGTTTGGTTCTAGAACACTGTTTCTGATTTCTTTTAAAACTCTCTGAAAGATAGATGCCAAATTGATCAAACAGATTTCCTGTTCTACACAGCAGCAAGCTCCAGATAACCAGAGAACTTCAGGGAGGGTCATGTAGGAGATGCCGAGTTAGCTGAGCAAACGTGTCTATTTCAGCTGTTGGTCTGTTTTCTGGTGCAGACCTGAGAGCTTTTTGAGCTGGGAGATTACCTTTGACCTGAGAAATCATTGTTGTCTGCTGGGGTGATAATTAAGGTCATGTCATTTCTTTGGAAAATAACATAATCATTCCACTATACAAACCAGTTTAAGTTCTGGTGCAGAACTTCGTAGAAAACTTGGATATTATTTAAAACACCTTTATCCAGTTGGATACCATCATTTCAATTAGGCACTTGAGAGGTCACATCCAAAGAATTACTGTTTTATTCATGCATTAAGTCATGCTAGTAATCCTGTTGTTTACTTCTATAAATTTGATCCAAGCTCACTGATCAGTGGGAAGATGCTACCTGTTTCAAAGATTTGGATCAAGCTTTGAATAAATAGTTGTTTGTTTTTCGCTAGAATGGAATTTGGGTTTGTATATTAATTTAGTTTTTTCTTTTGATCTATTATAGATGAGGGATTCATACCTCATTCTGGATGAATACGTAAGTCTTTGTCTTTGTTTGATACTTGGTATTTGTATGCTGATATATGTATGTATACAACAGTGATAACGAATTCGATTTACTCTGCAATCTCTAAAATAATTTTGCCATGTAGTATGAGGAATAGATGTATTTTTTTCCCATCAAACATATTGGGAACTTGAATTTAAGTATGACCTAAGGAGGAGTTGCCATCAGGTTGCATGCATGATCCTTGCATTGCAAATCTTAAAGTGTGGATGTGTATCTTTGCAGGATGTCTTTGCTGTTTTCTTTAATTTAAAAATACAAAACTTGTCCTGAAAGTTAAGTTTCAAAGAGTCTACTTAGTCTACATGTAACTGAAGAGCAAACGTTAATCTTCAGGAATTAGGATATGGCCTTCTTCCTGCTAAGATGTGTCAGCGTGTCTAACTATGAGCTTCTGAACCTTCTAAGGACTACGGTGAAGCCATTCATGCACTTACATAGGCTTTTATGGGATTGCAGTGCAACTTGTTTATTTCTGTGTAAAAATTAAGCTTTTACAAATTGACTTTCTAACGTCGTATCTATCGGTTTTCCAGATGCGCTTTCTAAACTGTAGAAATGGACGGAAAGAGCCTTCCAAGTCTATCCTAGATGTTGGCGTAGAAGCAGCTATAAAATTCAGTGGATTTGATGAGAAGATGTTCCTAAAAAGAGGAGGAAAGTATGTGTGGAGTAAAGCTGACATGAAACTGGACTGGTAACTCAATATACTGAGTTAGGGCAGGTGCATTATGTAAAGGAAATGGGTCTGCATCCAACGCTTTTAACTACACTTGATATATTGTACAGATTGATGTTCAGTATTACTCTACCTGTGAATGTGTCAAATGTTTTCAGAATGTAGATTATGTTCTTATCTACAGAGCTTTCATGTAAATAGATCTCTGAAATCTATTTTCTGGTCCGTTGTATAAAGAACTTAAGGGTAAAACCGTTAAGGTAATGTCACGCAGGAAATGGTTTTAAGATAATACAGAAGCGTGCATGCCAGAAAACAACCCCCAAACCACTCCAGTCTCTAGTTCATTATAAACAGCTGTAATGGTGGGTAAGTGGAAACTCTTACCAGGGAACGTATTCTGCCTTGTTCCTGGGGAAAGGCAGATTGCAGTTCCTCCCTCGATCACAAGAGGGCCAGCTGGCAGTCCTGTGGAAGAGCCCGTGCCTTTTTCAGGGGTAGTAGAGGGTCAGAATCTGGGAATCATTATCTGTTATAATATATTTAAAAAGAAATCAAGATGAAAAAATCAGCAATTTTCATTCTTTAAGACTTAACTGTAAAAGTGTCTGTTGTTCTTCTCCCTCTTCTCCATATAAACATACGCTATTTGCAAAAATTGTTGGAGGATGTAGTTTTCTGTGAAAACATATTTTTAGTCATGAAAGAATATTATATTTGTCCTAAAACATAAAAATGCATTTTACCCAATGACGAACAACTTCTTATTTAACATTGGCAATGGCCTTAGTTCTAACAAATATTTACAGTGAAAACAATGTTTGCATTTTATTCATAACCTCCTCCATTTTCCTTTTACTTGTAAATATTGAATTATTATTTTTAATATTCGATTTATTATTTTTAACATTTTTTTCTCTCCCTGTACATAAAGTTCTGATGAAGATTCCTTCTGAAATTAGTTGATTCTATGTAGTGTACCTAACATGTATCTTCTGTTACATACTGCCTGTGTTATTCGCATGCTTTTTATTTTGCTAAACTGTGGAATTACAAACAACAAAGTTCGTACATTGTGTAACTTTGTTTAAAAGGTTGCTTGGCTCAGTAATCATTTTTACTTGCTAGTTACAAACGTGCAGGTATTAAGTGAAACTATTTGGGTTTTGTGATAGCTGTCTTTGATTTTTAAGAGCTGGCAGCATCAACATAAAATAAAGTCAAAACCCCCTGCCAAAACAATAATCTTATATGCTGCTCTTTTTCTTGGTTTTCTGGCAATTGTTCCAGCTTTATAATTGCAGTTTTCCAAATTTAAGTAGCGTGTCCCTCCCTCCTCGCAAAGCTCCGTATGAAGGGAATGGGACTAAGCGTTGCACAAAGCAGAAGTGAGCTGGCACTACTGATTCTTCCTGTCCACTGAACTCAATGCCTAGACTGTCTCACATGTTTAAATATTTGCAGCAGTTGGGAGCCAGCATGCGTTAAATGAACCATGTAGAGAAAATTACACATTTCTTTTTTCTGGTAATGCTAGCTGATTTTTTTTAGAGAGTTTTTCCAAGAGAAATGTTTCGCGTTCACCTAATGCATCTTCAAAGTTGAAGAAGAAAGCACTTAAGTAGGAGTTGCTACCTCTGAATAAAGGAAGGTGCATCTCTGAATACACTGTGAAAATGTTTCCATTTATAATTCCTTCGTTTTCTATTTTGATTATCTTAACTGTAAATATACTGTCTCAGTGGTGCTCTTTGGTCTCTTTGTATTTTGCATTTTGCGGTCACAACACTTCCTAGACACTTATGTTTCAGTATTTTTTTTTTCTTGTATTAACGCTAAGTGACATTTAAAATGTGGCCCACACACGTTAACCCCACAGTCTTTTGGCAGCTGTTTCGCTGACCTCAGTTGGAGTTCTGCCTGAGTAGCAACTACGGGCAGCGCAAATTTATGTAACTGTGGGGTTTGACTTCCTCTGCGTTCCCATTGCTCAAACGTTAAATCGAGCTTCTTCCTCAGCATCTATGCTGCGTGATAAAAAAGAAGCATTTTCCTTTGCTGCTGGCTCAGTCCCAGCATGGGGAAAGATTTAGTGCATCAGTGTACCAGTAAATCTACCAGCTTGCTGCTTCTGCAGGAAATGCCAGCTGTATCACAGCACGCAGATGCGAGGTGCCCAAACTCCCATTCAGATCCAGAAATCCTACCTTTCTTTGCTTTGCACTTTACTCTGTAAATGGCTATTCTTTTGCTGCAAGAGATCCTCTGTGCCTACGGAGGAAGCTCCGCAATAAACAAACCGGAGCTGAAAATGTGAAAATCCAGTAAATAACGTAAAGAACTTGAAGGTGGCTTTTATCAGAAGGTTCTAAGTTCTTATTTTCTTAAAATCTTGAGGATTTTACATCACCTCTTCCTACCATACATAACTAAGAAAATATACCTGCTGTGTGTGATACTGTTTTCCAAAGGAAAAGTCAGTTGTGTACATTGGAAATGAAGAAATTGACATAACACAGTTTGACAGACAATCAATGCAGTTAAAGAATAGCTATTAGTATTTTTTTAATGCAAAACTCATTTCTGTGTAAAATATCAAAAAGTTTTTTTGGGTACAGCTTGGTTAACCTAGTTCATCTTTTTAGTCTATAAACACAGTTCACGTTGGACCAGAAACGGACTTCAGATTTTCATTCTGTAGTTGGGCCTAACTTTAACCATAGGACTAGAAAAACAATACTGAATTCAGTAGGGCTACTCCCAGGCTTAGAGATTACAGGCACGTTGTGACCCTGAAGAATCAGGATTTAAATTTAAGTCCTGTAAACACAGATACGCTTATTTGTATTTTCATGTGTAATCTCATAGCACTGCAGCTAAGCACTTGCTAAAGATGCTGAACTGGAAGGAACTTACACTGTAGTTTACTAGCATTATACAGCTGTCCAGATTTGTAGAATTTGTAGAGAAGGAATGTTTGGGAGACTGAGTTACTACAGTTAAAATCATCATGAATATACCTTGGGTAATGAATAAAACTGTCATTTAAGGTTCATTTTAAGATGCACTCTTTAAGGATGCTTGATACATTTGAATGTTACAAATGATGAATTTTAAAATGAGACTGTCACATTATTAGTGCTAAATATTTCACGGTGTTGCACATTTCAATAAATGTTTCTATTTTCTTAAATTTGCCTGTAGGTTGTTTTTGGTTTTTTTTAAATATAACCCAGAACCATAATAGCAGAACATGTGACTGCATTCACAAGAGATCTGTAATTCTGGTTGCAGTCTGCATTTAGCACAGGGGGCTGCTCGCTTGGTGCCAAGGGCAGCATCTAGGCCGAAACGGAGAACAATAGCGGTGATTCTCCTTGTGATGAAAAGCGTTTGTTACATGCCTGAGCGGACTGGGCTGCGTCGGGAGAAGAGAGTTAAAATACCCTGTGCTGTTCAG